GTTTTACCTCCTGCTCTAATTGGGGTAACAGAAGGAAATCGTACTCAACACACTTGCGTGTTGGTGCCCTTCCTTCAGTTCTCCCCTGTTCTAGTCTATCCTATCCGGGCGGTCTAAGACTAAAGTCCCGCTCGCAACTTTTGCACGTACTTCATGACTGGTAAGTAGTCAGTAACTAGTGTGCTTTTGTAACTACACCTACCTTTCTCTCTTGCCCTCTTCGGTTTCTCTTTCTGTCTTTTCCTTTCCTTTCTTTCTAAGGCTTGTTAGGTGGCTACTAAGGCTTTACCATAGTTGGCAGTTTTCCGGCAGAGATGCATGGCCCTCTACACCTATCTTTCCTTCTTGCCCTTTTTCCTTTTGCTCTTTCTGTCTTTCTTTTCTTTCGTTCTAAGGCTTGTTAGAAGGCTATTAAGGTCTTACCTCGATCATTCGCCGGTTTTCCGGAAGAGATGCATGGCCCTCTACACCTATCTTTCCTTCTTGCCTTTTCCTCTTGTCTTTTCCCTTTTTCCTTTTCCTTTCCTTTCCTACGGCTTGTTAGGTTGCTATTCAGGTGTTCGTAAGCCTGGACCACCCGCATCTTGATCCCCCCGGAAACCCTACAATGCGCCGGAACACTTCTCCGTGTGTGTGCCACCGCCTGTGTCAAAGGCTCGTGACAGTTGCAGGGGGACGGGTCACCGCTGATACTGCCCGTCCAACGAAGAGGGTATCAGTTGGTGCTGAAGCGGTGGAGGACGCTCCACTGTGTACCTGCGAGTTTGAACTGTTGAGCAAGCTGTTTTCACCCCACTCTTCCGTAAAGGGCTAACGCGTGATGTTCAGACAATTCAGTTTTGCCGACCCAGCATTCTTTCGGTTATGCAAGTCAAGGTCTAATGCACTGGTAATGTACTCCCTATAGAGTGGAAGATCGAAACCGATTTAGCTCTTGCGAGCATCAATCTAAGTGTCTGTCACTTGAACATGGCACTCTCACGTGGCAGTCTCAAAATGGTGATCCTATCTCGGCACCGCACCACGTGTACCACCAGATCAAAGCCTCACAGCTGCAAAGCTCGAGAAACCTGTTCGGTCGTTTTCTCAGTCTCGCACAATCTATCAGAAGCGTTCACATTGCCACCAGAAAACCAACGAAATGAAAAAGCGCAACACGTGGCACCGCTTAAAGTTTGTCTACTGTCGACATGTCTATCTTTCACTCGCGCGCCGCATGTAGGAAACAATAAAAGGTTGCATCAGCCTCATTCGTATCTCTTAGCCTGGACTTTGGCACGAAGGCCAGTGAACCCATTTCGATCTTCTTTCCTGCCCTTGCGCTATTTGCTTCTCTGCCTGTCTTGTTGGAACACGAAGAATCGGATACATGATGCTAGCATGTTTGTGGATTGTTCCTTTCGTTCAGTTGCACTGTCTGAGACTCGGACAGGAGTTCAAACTCAAATGCAAACGCACCCATCTGAGGGCAAAAATCTAGTGGCAACGAGCAGGAATTTCCCTATGAATTTCATGCACTAGCAAAGCTTGCGGTTGGCTACAGCTAGGGGGTCCATGACATTCTTGTCATCATGAATAAGCAGGACGCCTCTTAGTCTTTGTGTAGTTTGTTTGGGTCATATCTGAAGTGTTCTGAAGTGACCCAAACCCACCAATATCCAAGAATGCAACATGCCAGGCTTTAAATAAACGAAGCCAAGCACGCTTTTAGAGCCATGTTCCACTTCACATTGGAGGTGTAGTTGGTCTGCCTGCTTGTTTCAAACATCTTCAATCGTAAAGATCACAAATCCCGTTGGATTTGCAGTTCTGGCAACATCACTTTGCAGTTTCGGATTGCGCTGCTGTCGCGTAGGACCTGGTCCAAAGAGCCTATGCGGGTAACCAAACGTTGGCTGGGAAATGATCAGGTACATCGGAGAATGTAGTGCTCCGCGATCTCCATTTCCACTCGTTCCTTTGCTAGTAATTACAAGTGCCTCGCTAGTAGTAACAAGTGCCTTACTAGTAGTAACAAGAAGCTAGTAATTAGAATTATAATTAAATTCTTATTGTTACTAGTAGTAAGGCACTTGTTCCTAGTAGCGTGGCACCTGTTACTACTAGAGGGAGAATGTAGTGCTCCGCGATGTCCATTTCCACTCGTGCTATGGCCTAAGCACGCTTATCTGATACAGCGCTTGTACGCAAGGCTTAGTGACTCACGACTTGTCGGGTCTTGCACCAGCCATTCGAACTAAAACCACCCCAAGATGATCCATAGCAAAATCAAAAAGAGAAGCACCACCGACACAATGTACAACCACTTTTTCTGTCGCCTCATAGTCTCCTCCATGATCGCAATGTATTCCAGCGGTGATCTTCCTGTGAGAGGGTCTACCTCTGGAAGCGGGTCGTCTGCGGGCTTCTTGACCAGGAGCTTTTGCACTTCAAGCAGGGTTGTTTGATTCGGGCCTACTACGTCTTTGGATTCCTTGCGTTCCTTGTTTCCAGCTCCTCCTTTGCTGTCATCATCCTCAGCTTCCTCTTTGAGCTCCCTTGTCTCCTTGTTCTC